CCTTTTAGGGTTTCCGCCTAATCTCTTGAGATGGATTTCTAGCTACCTTTGTTCTAGGTCTCAAAGAGTCCTCTTCAAAAACTCCTTCTCTTCACCTGTTAAGGTTACTTCTGGAGTACCACAGGGCAGCCATCTAGGCCCCCTACTATTCACACTCTTTATTAATGATCTGCCTTCAGTATTAACAAACTCTCGAGTACTCATGTATGCGGATGATGTTAAACTTTGTGTCCAGTATAAGGACATTTCATTTCACTCTCGCTTGCAATCCGATCTCAATAACTTTCAGTCATGGTGTTGTGCAAATATGTTACACCTAAATGCCTCGAAATGCAAAGTAATGACATTTCATCGCTCCAGCCCCCTATTGGCTCCTTATAGCCTCTGCGGTGGTTCTCTTGAGAGAATTACCTTGGTTGATGATCTTGGTGTTAAATTAGACCCAAAGTTGAAGTTTTCTGAACACATTTCTACCATGGTAAATAAGGCCATGGGTGTGCTTGGGTTTATAAAGAGGTGGTCAAAGGAATTTGACGACCCCTATATAACAAAGACTCTCTATATCTCGCTTGTTCGTCCGATTTTAGAATACGGCTCTTGTGTATGGTGCCCCCAGTACAAAGTACACCAGGACCGTATAGAATCAGTCCAGAAAAACTTTTTACTTTTTGCTCTGCGTGGCCTTAACTGGGATGCAGGTGTGAGACTGCCATCTTATCCTCGTAGATTGCTTTTAATAAACCTTCCAACCTTAGTTAGTCGTAGAAAAATGCTTGGTGTGATTTTTATGCACAACCTGATCAAGGGTGATGTAGATAGCCCTGACTTGTTGAGCCGCATAAACTTTACGATTCCTATTAGATCTACTAGAAACTTCATTCCTCTTTTCCTTCCGCTTTGTAGATCGAATTATTCCTTGCACGAACCATTTAGGGTACTTTGCTCGGACTTCAATTCCCTTTACCACATAATATCAACTACTAATTCCCTTCCTCTTCTTAAATCACTAATACTAACATACCTTTCCCGTAATTAGTTATATTTTTTAGCTATCTTTGCATGCTTAGCTCTTTGAGTTGTGTTTAGCTCTAATTTTCCTCGAATTTTAGTCTAACACCTATCTTTCCTGCATGCTCGCGATCGGTTCGGTAACACGCGTCGCGCGTCATGCGGCAGCGCCCCTCGGTCGGTTGGGCGGGAGGAGGGCTGCGTTTCTGCCTGGGTTCCGCGCGTAACAGGCTTCGGCTTGGTGTCGCATGGGCCACTTGATGGTGCAGTCATTGCATATCAACGTCCAGACAAAAAAAAAAAAAAAAAAAAAAAACACCGGCTGTTTAAGTTAAACAAAAGGAAAATGCGGAGCGCAAAACAAAAACACGTCTGGTCACTACGAAAGAGAACGAACGAAAAAAAAACGAGAAGGAACGTGTGAGTCGCTTCTGGGGACACGACTCTACTTATACCCGTACTCAGTCAGTATATACATTTTTGAGCATGATTTTTTAGAATTTTAGAATTAAAAAAAAAATTTTACATTTTACATTTTTTTGCTACATTTGTTATCTACATCTCATCTACAATGTCTATTCTACATCTAACATGTAGATTGTACAAGTACCATTTAGATTCTACATCTCCTCCGCTAGGGGTTGCTCGCGCACTGAACGCGGCAGAGTGTGCGAGCGAGAAGGAAAATGAGTTGCGTTGTCGTTGGAAAGAGGGGGCAGGGGATGCAACTGAAAATTAATTTCTTCATTCTGGGTATAATTATGATCCGATCTGATTCAGATTCGGCAATCTGGTAGATATGGGCATTCTCTACGATACTGCGTTTTTTGTTTTATCGTATCTTTAAAACTGTGCCTGCCACAGATTTTCGTCCTTTGTGTGGGCGGAAGGGGGCGGGGCGAAATTTTGAAATACACTTGGAGCAGTGTGATATCACATGAGTCTGGAAACTCAAATTTGGTGTCTCTAGCTCTTGTAGTCTCTGAGATCCAGGCGATCATCAAGACGGACGGACGGACAGACGGACGGACAGACAGATATGGCTATATCGACTCGGCTATTGATGCTGATCAAGAATATATGTACTTTATGGGGTCGGAAACGTTTCCTTCTCTGCGTTACACACATCCACTTTTACCACAAGTCTAATATACCCCTTAACTCTTTTTTGAGTACGGGTATAAAAAACCAGCAAAAAATAAGTTTTAAGGATAGAGATTAAATCAACTTGATATTATGCATATAAGGATATTAAATACACATGCATTCACGCGAATATCCATGAGCTCGCAATGTTACTAGGGTGGATTAACAAGTCCGAGACCTTTTGAATTTCCCGCTGCTTAATTGATATGGCAATCATTTTTCTGTCAAAAGGTTTTTCGCCGTTTCGTAAACGTGGATAAAGCGTGGATCCATCACAGCACACCAGAGACCAAAACAGTAAAAACATTAGGTTCCTCAGGATGATTCTAGGCAAGAGAAGGCCAAATTGGGGTTTTTTAGGCAATAGAGTCTTGGCGAATGTTTTTGGAATACTAGCGGTATTAACTTCATTCAGAAAGGGTAAAACAGACAATGGCGAATATTATGCCAACTTATTGGATCGATTTAATGAGGATTTAAAAAAAAAACATATGCAGTTTCCTTTACGAAAATCCATGAATTAGGCACCCACTTTATTCTCTGGATTTAGTCCTTAGTGACTATTTCTTGTTTCCAAACCTGAAAAAATGGCTCGGCGGAATGAGATATGAATCCAAGGAGTCCCAAAAAACCCTATTTTGAGGAACTCGACAAATTCTTTTTTAGAATTCTCATTCTCATTAAATCGATCCAATAAGTTGGCATAATATTCGCCATTGTCTGTTTTACTCTTTCTGAATGTACTTAATACCGCAAGTATTACCGTTAGTTTTGCTTTAGAAAATGAGTTCGAACTGCTAAGATCGAATCACTAACTATATAATACGGCCTATATCGGATCGGGTAAAACCCAGTATTTGTGGGAAAAGCTTTTTATACCCGTACTCAAAAAAGAGTTAAGGGGTATATTAGATTTGTGGTAAAAGTGGATGTGTGTAACGCAGAGAAGGAAACGTTTCCGACCCCATAAAGTATATATATTCTTGATCAGCATCAATAGCCGAGTCGATAGAGCCATGTCTGTCTGACCGTCTGTCCGTCTGTCCGTCTTGTTTGACGCCTGGATCTCAGAGACTATAAGAGCTAGGGCAACCAAATTTGTTTACCAGACTCATGTGATATCACACTGCTACAAGTGTATTTCAAAATTTCGCCCCGCCCCCTTCCGCCCCCACAAAGGACGAAAATCTGTGGCAGCCACAATTTTAAAGATACGATAAAACTGAAAGCGCAGTATCGTAGAAAATAACCATATCTACCAGATTGCCGAATCTGAATCAGATCGGATCATAATTATAGCCAGAATGAAGAAATGAATTCTCTGTTGGTTCCCTCTCCTTCTCCAGCGCTGCTGACGCTACTGATTCTCTTTCTCGCTCGCACACTCTGCCGCGTTCAGTGCGCGAGCAACCCCTAGCGGAGGAGATGTAGAATCTAAATGGAACACGTACAATCTACATGTTAGATGTAGAATAGACATTGTATATGTAGATGTAGATAGCAGATGTAGCAAAAAAATGTAAAATGTAAAATTTTTTTTTTTTTCCAAAATTCTACAAAATCATAAGCTGTATATACTGACTGAGTACGGGTATAAGTAGAGTCGTGTCCCCAGAAACGACTCACACGTTCCTTCTCGTTTATGTCTTAAAATATTTAAATAATAGCTTCGGTTGGAAGAGGTCCAGTTTTCGCTTCGAATCACACTGCTTTGAATAAGTAATGGTCAGTGTCCACTGTCGAATTTGTTCGTCGAATCTGCTGTGTTCAAAGAATTCGAGTTTTGATAGACAGAAAGAAAAATGTGTATTCTGAAAAGCAACTTCTTCGAACCAATTCTTCTGTTGCTACCCACTTTAAAACAAACTTATGCTTCTCAGCCGTCGGGTACTTTCCTTATTAGTGAGCTCCTGAACTTTAATTATCTAATTTTAAAAAATAATTCGGATTTTAAAAAACGGGAGTAGTTGTCAAATACAAAAGGAAGCTATATTTAAATGTGAAATCTGGAACTGGGCTGTACATACATGCACTCAAATTAAAAAGCGCGAATCCCCATTCCTAATCTGGTGGGCCTGTTAACTTGTATATATATCTGCAATTAATTAAAATTTTTTTTTAAATATATATTTTAAATTAATGGATGTATATTATCACTTAACACTACTCTAAAATCTTGGTTTGTATACTTTAAACATGTGTGTATCACGTGTATTTTACGATTGCTATTTGTCTTAATAATGTGTGTAATAATAATGTGTATGTATGTATGTTTTATTTTCTGTATATAAATATGCCGAATACTAATGAATGATTAATAGATATATATACCAATATTGTCTTATATTTCTAATAGTCTTTTATTTTGTATGTAAGTGGCATTTGCTGTAACAGATTTCATCTCTATTCGCATACCTGAAAAAAACTATCAAATATTTTTTGGAGCAATATACATATACATACATAAAAAAAAATTTAAATATAAACTATGTTTAACTTACAGATGCTAACTAAATATTTAAACTATTAACAAAAATTAAAATAACTAGACTATTCTTTACGATGTACAAGATTTTTCAATTTCCACAAAAAATGATAGCAGCTCACGCCATTTTATCATGTCTAAGGGGTCACTTTTATGCCAGTTTTCTTCGGTAAATCAATCGTTAATTTTATTTGTTTTTCTAAATGATAAACAAAAGACCTCATCCTGATTTTACATAGAACAATGTATAACAATATTTGTATACATATGTATTTATATGTTATATAAATAAAACTTTGTGAAAGGATTGCCTTTTTATTATACATACAACTATTTAACACCATATGCCCGATCTATTTAGCTGCGCAGACACGATAAAGTGGAAAAAATTAGAACGCGTAAGGAAGATGGTGATGTTTCAGGAGAACACGATATCAGCGAGCTTGGTTGCGCCGTCAGTCATGGAATCATTGGCACAACTGAACAGGCTATAGCAGCAGGAACTTCTTCTGATGGATCATCATTTCGTTACTGTATGCCAACACACGCGGTCTACACATCGCCAGTACCAACGGCACGTACAAACCAGTTAAAAATACGTTTTTAGGGATAGGGATTAAATCAACGTGATATTATACAATATAAGTATATTATATACACATGCATACATACACGCGAATATCCATGAGCTCGCATTGTTATTTACAGAGCACTGTACTGTAAACATAAGCGAATTTTTCTGCTCAAAGTTTTTAATCATTATAATTTTTTTAAAATTATTTTAAAAAATTGTTATTGGTATATTATTAAAAAACTGACAAATGCACTGCATGCATTATCTTTCGTTATCATTTTAGATTAAACTGAATGTTTTTCTATTTTAAAATTTGTACAAAGTTTAGTGCATGTGTCCGCTGATACAAAAATGTATGTTTATCTGTGTCCATAAATGTTGGCTATCTGAGTTAATTTTAATAATATACTTACATACATAGCAATATTGTTCATATTCTCTCTCCTGTCCGTTGGATCTCTATTTAATTCAAATCACAAAAGTCCGTTCTTGTCTGGTGAAAATTTTCTTTGCTTAATTAACGCTTTTTATTTGAAAACTTTGGACCAATTGGATCAATCTATCTTTTACTTTCGCCCAATTTATTTGGTTTGCATTATTTACTTTAATTTTTGTGTGTCGGAGAGTCGGTTCTATTTTTCTTTTCGCGAACCATCTTGACTTTTCATTTCTTCCTTTTTAGTAGCGTTGTAAATCCAATTGTTTCGTTCGTCTCTCTAACTCTAACTGACTTTCAGACTGATTTTGCCACTCATCCCCTTTTTCATAAATACCATGTCATACTCGGATGAGTATGCTTCGGTCTCACGCCACGCTTTCAGCAGCAACTATACAACATAGATTAAAAGAATACACCAAATATTCCCTTGATTCGTTTTGGTTCTTCATTATTTAATTAACCATACAGTTTTTCTTATTCAATCTACAACAATATGGTATTTTTAGATTTTAGATTTTTCCTTATTGAAAAAAATTTAACACTAAATATTAAATGTTCGATGGCTAACGGAATACTTAAATATTGCTGAAGATCAGCGATACGTTATTAAAATTGGAACCCAGGAGTAATCCTTTAAATTTTAATTAAGGCAAACAATTTTTTCATATTTATTTGTAATACTTTCACAGCTGAAAGTGGAGCACTAAAATACTTTACCTTATTTTGATATTATAATAATTTTAGCCGTTTTGCCAAATACACCTGCAATGGTTTTTAAAATTTGTCCAGACGGATTTTTTTTTTAGTTATTATAATTTCAATATGGGTATTTTAATGGTTAATATTAATAATGTTAATATTCTACTGAATTAAATAAAATTGTTGATTGAAATTTTTTGATTAGCTTCCAATTAAGAGCTACGAATTTTATATCATTCCATGTAGTTTTAGTACGCAGCTTCAGTGTTTGTTTGCAAAACAAATTTCAAAGAGATATACAAAAATTTTGTTTTGACATATCTTCTATATATAAAAAACATTAATCATTATTCCTTTCTTTAGGCATTTGCTTGGTTTAGCGATCTGCTAGTCGAACATGCGGAAATATTTTGGTCTCTTTTCGCGGTTGACATGGATCGCGTTTTATCAGAGCAAGCTCCTGATACGTGGGATTCGTTTCCCTTATTTCAAATTCTTAATGATTATTTAAGGGCAGATGGTAAGTAGTACATTGTCCAACGTTTGAATAGCCCTTACAGAATAAAAACTGTTTAAGAACCGCATTTTCTAACGGTGTCTTTCATCTAAGAAATAATAATAATTATAAATAATATACTTGTTGAGCTACTGAGCTTCTTCAGTAGCGTTGTATTGCGATATTATTAAAAAGGCGATGATTGTTCATTATATATATTCACAGTTTATTGTGGTGAAGTAAATAAGCGATACAGAGTCGAAAGGATAGTTAGCTGGATTCAAGACGGGGTCAGATTGAAGACGCGGGGGTCGGTTCAAGGCGGTGTCGGATTTAATAGCTCGATTCCAAGACGATGTGCAGTGATTGCAAGATCAAGACTAAATCAAAGGGCAGGCGGGCCGAATCGCCCGTGCCCTAATGCGAGCGAGAGAGTGATAGCGAATGGCGATAGAAAGAAAGGTGTGAGTTGAAGACGCGAGAGAACGGTTGCATAGGCTGCTGCCGTGCGGGAGCATGAATATGTACATATGTATGTAGATGTCAAAGCTAAGCAGTGGGCAGTAAAAATTCTGAACAATAATAGATATTTACTCTACTGCTGCACCACTGACTGATCTACTGATTATTTGGCTGCGTAACCAAACAATACATATGAATCTGAAAATTGAATATGCCATTTTAGAAAACGAATTATTCACATTATTCAAAGAAAAATAGGATGTTTAGTTCAGTTGCTCAAAACAATATTTCAACATTGTATATAATCTGAGGTCTTAATTTTTTTTTCAAAAGGCGTTTATTTGTTTCTACAATCCTATGTAAAACTAATCAAAAATACGATTATTTATTATAATGTGAAATATTTCTTATTAACCAAACTATTCTGACGAGATTAGTTTTATCCGAAAGAGCATAAGTTCGAACGAACTTATATTTATATTGTTTATAGTTTAAGGTTCAACTATGGTGAGTTAAGCTAAATGAAAAAAATTGCTAAATACAAATCAAACTGACTATGGCAATTACCCGTGAACCGATGGTTCTGATTTATTGGCTACGCTATGGTCTAACTCACAGGCAAGTTGAGATCAGGGAATAGCCGACAGCATATATAAAACAAAGAATAAATTAAATTCATTAACAAAGGTTTGAACCTAACAGTACAGGTCGAAGGAAAAAAAATGGAGAAATGTATTGTTGTTACGGCAAAGGCTACGGAAATATTCACAGTCAGAGAAATTAGTAAGACAGAGTTAAAGATAAAGAGGAAAGAAATCCCTAGTCGGTTGGGACGGGATAGCGATGCTAATAAGGCTACTACAGGCAATGGAATTCAGGTAGAAGTTTGTGGAAAAAGATACCGAACCAAAGGTTTTACAAAATTCAGTTTAAACAACATCAGTTCGACACTGTTTTGCGAAACACGCTTTTACGAAGGTGGAGAAATCAATGAGATTCAGAATAGAAGTAACTACTAAAGTGTCCGAGCTGAGAAGTGATAATTTTTTTGAAGAGTTTAGTAACGGCAGATAAGTTGGAAATATTACGGTAATTGGAAAATTTGTGAATAAAAATTATGTATGACACTTTCCAGACGCTGGGAAAATCACCGAGCTCGAGAGATAGGTTAAACAGTTTGAGGAAGGGTACGGAAAGAGAATCAGCACAAGTTAAAGAACAACACTGGAAACCATATCGGGCCAGTAGAACAATTTCATGACTTTAAATTGTTCGAGAGGCCATTATGTATAATCAATGAAGGGGGATAGATGGAATTTGAACAATTTATGATAATAGGATTTGACTGCATGGAACAAAAGACATTAGGTGATGTGAGAATAGAAGAATATCGCGATCGTTACAGCGTTAATGTCATAATGGTGTAGAGATTAAGGAAATTGGGAGGAATTACGTTTAGACTTAATAAAACTGAAAAATTATTTAGTATCTCGTTTTATATCCGTACTCAAAAAAAGTTAAGGGGTATATTAGATTTATGGTAAAAGTGGATGTGTGTAACGAGAAGGAAACATTCCCGACCCCATAAAGTGATCACCACAGCCGAGTCGAGTCGAGTCGAGTCGAGCCGAGCCATGTCTCTCTGTCCGTTCGTCCGTCTGTCCGTCTTGTTTGTCACCTGGATCTCAGAGTCTATAAGAGCTAGATCATCCAAACTTTGTATCCAGACTGCTGTGATATCGCACTGCTACAAAATTTCGACCCCAACCAGCCATACAGTATAGTAGAGAGTGACCATATCTACCAGAGTGCCGAATCTGAATCAGATTGGATTATTATTATAGCTACAATAAATAAATAAATTTTCATTTGCTTCCCCCACCTCCTCCGGCTCTGCTGACGCTATATTATTCTGCCTGTTCTCTTTCTCGCTCGCACTCACTCTGCCCTGTGCAGAGATGTAGAATCTACATTGTGTATGTAGAAACTCATTTTAGATGTATAATGTATGTAGCAAAAATATGTAAAATGTTAAATATTTCAAAATTATAAGCTCACAAATTTATATTCTGAGTACGGGTATAAAATTAGAGTCGCGTCTAGGAAGCGACACAAGGGTTCCTTCTCGTTTTTTCTTAAAAAAAAAATCTGACAGGAAATGTCGAGGAAAACGATCGATGCTGCAGATCAGATCGACCGTCCGTCCAAGTTTCGGGCTGCTTCGTGCTATCAGAACGGGTGCCCGCTAGGTTATTTAGACCAGTGAAACATGCAACGGTAACACATCAAATATAAACTCAATGCAGCGAAAAGCCAAGAATAAAATCGAACTTATTCGAACGATTAAACTGAGCAATCAATCACCGACTTTGAAAAATAGATTGCGACTCGAAGCAAAGCTTCTGAAGAAGATCAGATGCTCAACAAAGAGATAAACCCATATCTTTGGTTTATGAGTTTTCTACGCTCTTATTGCAAAAAAATATATATACACTAGGGGGCAAGCCCGCTGCTCCCTCGACGTTTTTGCATTTAAGCTGAATACGTTTTGTTTGACTGAATACGTGTAATTATACCCGTACTCAAAAAGAGTTAAGGGGTATATTGGATTTATGGTAAAAGATGATGTGTGCAACGCAGAGAAGGAAACGTTTCCGACCCCATAAAGTGTATATATGTATTCTTGATCAGAATAAATAATCTACATGTTAGATGTATAATATACATTTTAGATGTAGATAACAGATGTAGCAAAAAAAATGTAAAATTTTTTTAAATTCTACATAAATCATAAGCTCAAAGATTTATATAAGTACTGAATGAGTACGGGTATAAAAAAAGAGATTCGCGTCCCCACAAGCAACTCACACGTTCCTTCTCGTTTATCTTGATGAATAATTTCAATAATTCATTGTGATGATTAAGTAGTTCGTCCACCTCTCCAACTATGCGCCTGGCTATTGCCGAACTGAGGTTATGGTAACCGCAACGTGCATCTACGCGAATGTTGAGTGCGCGATTTATGTCCTCACCACCCATGAAGTATATTTGTAAAAACTCATGTGCTTCGTTTGGCATTGGCACTAAAGATCCTACTATGTGGTACAATTTTCCTTTGATTTTAAATGTGGAATTGTATTGTTGACCATTCACCGCTGTATTTTTAACTATTTCTGTTGCTCCGAACGATGTCATTTGGAAGCATAAATTGAGTTTTCGAATTGACTTCAGAGAGATGTTTGAATCTGGATCCGTGCCTATGAGCAAGCTGTTCAATGGTTCCGGTGGTGTCTCAATTGCAGGTATTTGTACTTTTCCTGATGCGCAACAAATTCCACTTGACTCATGTTTATACTTGACAATGGGGACATTCCTTGTTTATAGCACCAATCAACACTTTCTGATGTGCGCAATATTCAATATCTGGATCGTATGCGATACAAAGGAACGAAGTGGATGTTAATTCTCTATGTATTTGTTGGCGTTGTCGGTCATTTTCTCTGATATTCTCAGCTATGTAGCGACGCCCACGTCTTCGTGTTCATTTCGTACCTCTTGTGATTGAGATTCACTCAAGTGATATGCCCTCACGTTCATTTTCGTTATCTTCTTCGACTTGTTCGACTGTTCTTTCTGCTCTACTATGTCGCATGAATGTATCATTATTTGTTCGACGGTGCAACTGAGCCCCCATCCGTCTGGCTGGAATTTTTTACTTTAGCACAATTACAAAATAACAAAATTTACAAACAAACGTAACAAACACACAGAAAGATATTAGCTCGAGATTATATCAGAAATTAACACTGACAACTAATCTAATATCGGTCGAGCCGTTTGGGAGGAGTTCAACCACAAACACCGTGACACGAGTTATATATATATAGATATTCTTATTATATAACATAACTAGGGGGCAAGCCCCCTGCGCACTAGATTCACGTCAACACCCGGTTCGCTCGCTTTGATCAACAGATCGCTTGAGCTAAGCGAGTGTGCAGGGTACTTTCCCGCTGGTGTATATATATTTTCATAAATTAGTCCCGCAAATCTGTAATATAGTGGAGGTTTGAGTATTATTAATACAAAAAGTCCGATTACAGATAACTTGCGCAATGGTCGCTTTCATCAACACCTTCGCGATACTTTTGCACCATTAGTTGTGAGATATGTGGATCTTATGGAATCTTCAATAGCCCAATCTATTCATAAAGGATTTGAGAAAGAACGCTGGGAGAGCAAAGGGTATGTATAAAACAAATTTCAATGTCCCATGCCAATTAGTAAAATATTTAAACCAAGGCGCAATTACCTAAGAATCAATTACACAAAATAACTATTTTTACTAACAATTTGTTAATGTTAATGTTAAAAAGTATAAATATGCACACAGATGCAGAAGCTTATTATTTATATGATTACACATAAAAATCTTACTTTGGGATTGGAAGTAATTGGTAAAACAGGTAGTTAGATTGAAAAGTCGAAAGGCTTTCGCACAAAAATTAATAATGACTGTTTTGTTTAAGGGCCGTCTTGCTTTGAATCATTTTATATTCATCTTTTAAATGGAGAGTTTATGTTGTATTTATTTATTTTTTATTCTATGAATATATAGGATAAACGCTGCTTTGAACCCTGCAGCATTAAACAATGCAGCCCAGGCGCTCAATACAGCGGCCCTCAACCCATCAACGCTACTCAGCGGCAAGAAAGATCAAGTAAATTTTTACCTGCCGAAGCTACCAAGGCAATCAGTTGCAACAGCTGCCACCGACGATATGAGGTTTTTAAATAAAAAAAACTCCATTTATAAATATACGTAGATTAAAATATTGTCTTTGCATTTCGTTTTGCGTTTTGTTTTCTGCCAAATTGTATGCATTGCCAAAAGTTTCTTGCCACTTGCCAGCATAATTCATATGCATATCACAAAATATAAATTAAATAAAAAACCGCCAATGTCAATTGCATTGTAGCTGACTAGTCGTTCACAATTTTATTCATTATAACCGAAAAAATATATATAGTATATACAAATTCTTGTTCTTAGTTTTTACAGAGTTTCTTAAATACATATTTTTGTTTTTGAAATTTCATTTTTTAAATCCGAATACTATTGCTTAATATTTCCCTGACAAGGGCATGATAACATAAGCAAGCATTTTTTTAAAATAACCATACATACATATACCATATATGTACTAGAAATTGTGGCAGGTGCAACAAAAAAAATTTAATTTGTTCGCTTTTTTTAATATATTTATCTGAAGGATTGCTCAAATTTGGTGCAGAAAATTATTTTGGAGGCCGTCTTCGTTTTATTTGTATGTTAAAAGCTTTTACCAAACTTGCACATTCTATACCCCTAAGATTGATACATAATTTGAACCGTGCTTTGAACGGATCGATGGATAATTCTGTGTATACGACCACATATGTATGTGCAATGATAGAGTTTTGTATCTGCAAATTGTGATATCAGAGTCTCAATACCTAACCATTTCGATCTGCATAGTAATCGTCATTGAGATGTTCTTGATGTTTAATGAACATTGTAATGTTCATGTTTAACGGTTTTTATACCCGATTTTTTTAATACGTCGCAGAATGAAATTTACGAAAAGTATTATTAAATATGTGACGCCCCCTGCCTCTTCTTCCTCTTTCTCTAACACATCCCCTTTTATTATTCTATCTATGACTCACGCCAAAAAAAAAAACTTAGACGAATATTAGGAATAGTTATAGAAGTCACAAATGCATGAAGCTTCAGAGTGCAGTTTTTTTTTGTCGCTAGGTCCATCCAGATGAGCGCCTTGATCTCAGAGCTAGAGCTAGAGCAACAAAGAACGAATGGATTTGTGGGTAATCATACCCATACTCAAAAAAGAGTTAAGGGGTATATTAGATTTGTGGTAAAAGTGGATGTGTGTAACGCAGAGAAGAAAACTTTTCCAACCCCATAAAGTATATATAGCCGAGTCGATAGAGCCATGTCTGTCTGTCCGTTTTGTTTGTCGGCTGGATCTCAGAGACTATAAGAGCTAGGGCAACCAAATTTGGTTTCCAGACTCATGTGATTTCACACTGCTACAAGTGTATTTCAAAATTTCGCCCCGCCTTCTTCCGCCTCCACGCAGTTTCATAGAGAATGTCCATATCTACCAGATTACCGAATCTGAATCAGATCGGATCATAATTATAGCCAGAATGTAGAAATTAATTTTCAGTTGCTTCCCCCGCCTCCTCCGGCAAGAGACCCGCTACTCATTCTCTTCCTCGCTCGCACACTCTGCCTCGTTATGCTCGCAAGCGCATAACGGAGGAGATGTAGAATATTCATAGAATATGTAGATGTAGATAACAGATGTAGTAAGAAAATGTAAAATGTAAAATTTTTTTTTTAATTCTAAAATTCTAAAAATTCGTAAGCTCAAAAATGTATATACTGACTGAGTACGGGTATAAGCAGAGTCGCGTCCCGAGAAGCGACTTACACGTTCCTTCTCGTTTTATTTTCCTATGAAAATTATCAGTTTTTATTTATTTTTTGGTCGATAAAAAACTTGTAATGGTTAATTTCACAATAGATAATAAATCGCTCTAGATCGCCCTTTTCTTTACTCGAAATTTATTTTTCGTAAATTCACACGGCTGCAATTAAATTTGTTTGGAAAATGTGTTTTTAATCGGCTGACGTGTTTGCAACTAACCATTTTTTTTTTTTTAAATTACAAACAAAATTTTGTTTCTGCCAAAATATATACTACTGAGCAGTGGTAGAAACGAACAGAAAGGTCATTTGAAAAAAGTCCCGAATAAAATGGACATTTATAACCATTTATGCGAATTCACGTTAATCGTCGAGCTACCAGTCAACATATATATCTATAACATAAAAACAAAAGACATTTGACCGATTGACAGCAATTAAAACGAAATTCTTACAGAGCTTGTACCCGTTAAATTGCAACAATACATGCACACATAAAAAAATTATATTTTTTCTTCTTCAGGAATTAATTCCTGTCTGATGAGCGGTAGCAGAAGAGTAGTTCCCAAATAATTTCGGAAAACAATTTTTTTAAAATTTGTATTGTAATGTTTAGGGGCTGCTACCACGAAAAGAAAATAACATTTTTTGGTGAATTCGTCGTTTTTTTTTTTTAATTATATTGAAACCTAGAAACTAGTTTATAATGATAATACCATTGGTTTTTTTTTTGGGTTTTTTTTAGTTACTGTTAAAAAGTTAACGATCAGCTGAGGTTGATATATTTATTTAACTCGTTCGCAAAAACTTGTGCAGGTTTTTTACTGCCAATAACTGATTAATGACGATAATAATGGTATCAATATATGTATATGCAATAGATTTCACCGCTATATCAAATTCTTTCCGCAAAACAAATGTTTGTTAAATTTGCTTGCTTACAAAATTTTCGGTAGCAACCTCTAAACAAATTTTTTTAAATAAAAATTTAAACTTTAATATTACCATCAAACCCAAAAAAACAAAATTGGGTGTGTCCTGTTTAAATTTCAAAAAACATTCTTGAGCTACTGAGCTTTTTCAATAGCGTAGTTTTTGGATATGTTTATTAACGAGACGATGGTTGTTCAGATTAAATATGGTTTATTGTTGTGGAAGGCGATACAGAGTCAAAGGAATATCGAAAGGTTCGAGTTAGGTTGATGACGAGTCGGTTGGAGAGTAAGCTGGATTCAAGACGGGGTCAGATTGTAGACGCGGGGGTCGGTACAAGACGGTGTCGGATTGAATAGCTCGATTCCAAGACGATGTGCAGTGGTTGCTAGATCCAGACTGAATTAAAGGGCAGGCGGGCCGAATCGCCCGTACCCTAATGCGAGCGAGAGAGCGACAGATCGAGAGAGTGATAGCAAAGCAAAGGAAAGAAAGAAAGGCGCGAGATGAAGAGGCGAAAGAGAACGGATGCATAGGCTGCTGCCGGGCGGGAGCATGAATGCGTGCATGAGTTTGTAGGTAGATGACAATTTAGTACAGTGGGCAGTGCAAACATCGAACAAAAATAAGGATTTACTCTACTGCTGCACCACTGGCGATAATCTATGCATTTTTCCACTATTTGGCTGTGTAACCAAACAAACATTTTTTTTGACTAACCTAATTCTCTACGGCACTGCGTTTTTCGATTGCTCGTATCTTCAATATTGTGGATGCCACATAAATTTGTCAATTTTCACAATTTCCTACAGGCCTACAACCTTATTTTTGTTTCGTCCAAAGTACAATGTTATTATTACTTTTTATATTATTTATATTTGTTTTTGAGTAAAAGTAAATATCGTATCAGCGAACCTGGAAACCGAAGGAATTGAAAGGGTCGGCGGCTGCGTGATCGCTAGTCAATTTTTATCCCATATCATTGTACAACAGAATTTTTTATAAGTGTGCGCAGAATATCAGAAATGAGGTACCAGGCCGAACAAATATTTTATATCCGGTACCTAAGTTGCTTTATGCTAGATTTGTTTGAGCTCATATTTTGGATAAATTAAAGGAAAAATGCTTTTACAATAACAATTAATGACAATAAAGCAATGAAAATTAAGAATTTGCTTTATAAAAAAGGTTTTTCGTGCTTTTATTTTTATTAGATTCATACTTACTTTACAAGTTTTTGCTTGCTTAGTCAGCTATCGAATGATAAATATTTAAAATCAAGGTTACTATTTAGGAACGAGCATATACATTTTGGAATTACGTCATGATAAATCTCTACTAGATGTACATCCATATACATAAATATCGCTGTAATCTTCGATTCCTGTGGTTTCATTTCATAGCAGCCGGTATCTATTTAGATCCATTTCATTGCTACATTTTGTATACAGCTGAATATTAAGAAAAATAACTATAAAAGCTTTATTTCGTCCACTTTTTTGGGTGATAGAAAAATTAAGTGAATTTAGTAGCGCATTTTCAGACTTTATTTTTATACACATTCAACAATTATATGTATAAGGGATAAATAGATTTGAGTTGATTAAATTTTTGCGGATTCAATATGTTTTTATATATTTAGTATAAAAAAGAGCCTTGCATTTTTAAAAGCTTTTCATGTTGATTCATTGGTACCACAATCCACTTTATATAATTTTTTAGGAAAGTTACATTTTTTTTATCAATGAAAAAGGAATATTGTTGAGAAGATGTAACGGAAAAGCAAAAGAGTAAACCAGCTTTCTTTGTGGATTATGCAGGGCTCTTGTATTATAATAAAATACACAAAAGTGCGATAGAATCTTTTTCCAAAACGAATGCTGCTCTTTTAGATTCGAATAAATAAAGACACTTTTTTTAGAGGTTACAACTAATTTAACTTTTTTTACACATCAGTATGTGTGTAGAATACAGTATATTCTTCATTCCCTTTAATTATTAAATAGCAAGATTTATTTTTAATTTTGAATTTTATCTGCTTAGAAATGGATGTGCCACTTCCGAGGATCTCTTTTGGAAGCTAGACGCTCTACAGTCCTTTATAAGGGATTTGCACTGGCCAGATGTGGAGTTTCGACAACATTTGGAACAGCGGCTTAAAATGATGGCAGTTGATATGATTGAGCAGTGTATACAACGAACTGATTCGTCTTTTCAGTCATGGCTGAAAAAAAATATTGCTTTCATATCAACGGACTATATTATACCTTCAGAGATGTGCGCTATGGTTAATGTGATATTAGATGCTAAAAATCAAAGCTTTAAACTGACGACTATTGATGGCATTGACTTGGTAAGTTAATTTATTAAATATTGCTGGAAACTTTAAAATTAAATTTAACTCTTTATCAGTATAAATTCCATGCAAAAATTGACGACCAAATCGATAAAGCGAATGTAGCGATGACACAAGGGCTAAGTGGTAAACTTATGTCAGTGCTAGAGTCGACTTTGTCAAAATTAGCTCGATACGACGAAGGAAGCTTGATTGGTTCAATTCTCAGTTTCACGAATGTTTCAAGCTCCGGAAAGGATCTGGGACAGGGCTACGTCAATTTCTTACGAAATAACATGGACCAAATACGTGGCAAAATTGGTGACGATTTATGGACACTAAATTTTTTCGAGCAATGGTATACGCATCAAGTTATTATGCTCAATAATTGGCTGTCGGAACGTTCAGATTGTGCCCTGCACTATGCGCAAGTCTCATCTATATCTCATATAATCAAGGTAACGTTTTTGTTCTTTTCGGCAATGTTTTTTTTCCTCTTCCAGCACGTACACAACGAAAGCTAAGGCAGTATCTCCAGCAAAGTATCTATCCAAAACCATATAATTATGGTCAGAAAATTTGATCAAAAGTCATATCTATTTATTTATTATTATTTATAATCTAAGTCCTAAACTTAAACTAAAAAAAATAATTTTGAGTAGCACTGTCCTCGAAAGCCTTCGGCTATGTCTAATAGTTTCGACTATATGTTACAAAATGATTCAGTGTGTGCCTATATCTATTTGTACATATATTTGTGGAGAAAAATATGTGTGTAACAGTCTCAGCTATATTGTTTGCAGTTCAAAAACAGTTTCAGAGGAATATACAAGACTCTCTTAGCTATTCAAAACATGTTGCTTCCTGAAACCGCCCAAGAAAACTCTATTTCATAGACAAATTTGACTAGTTAGACCGGCAAAGATTCGAAAAAAAAAGAACAAAATAAAAAGCTCTATAAATAAATATTTAAAAATCAATAAAATGAGTCAGAAGTAACGTAACGAAGGGTTCATCTACGGCGCCCTAAATGGATGAAAGCCCAACCACTGCATGAAATATATAAATTTATTGAAAAGAGACTTGCAAGGTATATAAATATCGGGGTGTTTTCGACTGCCATAGAAATCTATGGAGTTTTTGTCAAATCAACTAAGACAGATGTATCGGAATAAAAAACAAAAGAAGAAAAATGGAAACAGATAAAATATTTTAAAATCGAACTGACTCAGTACTGGGTATAAAAGTAGAGGCGCGGCTTTATACACGCCTCACAACACCCCCTCGTTTTGTTGAATCTTGCTATAAAAAGACCAAAGACCACTCGCTTTGGTTCGGGGGAGAAAAAAAATCTAAATTGTTTGCCTAGTGTAATTGAAGCGGCAGTATCTGTATTAATTCCACGTGTAATTTGCGACAGTTCAAAATTTGGCTTTGAGCTGTCTGGCTTTTCCGACCGTTTGAAAAAATCCTCAAAAAGAATTAAAAACGCGGCTTCGTATAAACTTGAACAATTGGATTTATTCTCGACATGATTCTCATGATTTAAAATAATCTGCCTATATATATATATATGTATGTAGGTATAAAATAACACTACTCGAAAAAAATCAAATTTTGTTTCCTCAAGCATCCAAACCGACTATTTCTGATAGATATGGGACTTAAAATTATTTTTAAAGAATTATAGTTTTTTATCTATGTCAGAAAATTTTTTTTGAAGAATTTTTGAATTCTGGTATTTTTTTTGTAAAGCTTTTTTCAGAGGTAGCGCTTCTTTTTTTCACATAACTCTAGTATCTTACGTAAAGAACTTTGCTATTTCAAAACCAGACGTAAGATACTAGAGTTATGTGAAAAAAGAAGCGCTACCTCTGAAAAAAGCTTTACAAAAAAAAAACAGATTTCAAATATTCTTAAAAAAAAGTTCTGCCATAGAAAAAAATTATTATTAAACTATTTCTAAGCCCTAAATCTTTAAGAAAAAGTTGATTTTGTTCCTTGAGGAAAACTCGTGCCGAGTAGTGTAATTAAACTAAAAAAATAAATAATTAAGAATTAGAGTATTGTAGATAATGGTATAATTACAGGAAATATGTTTAAGGTATAATTGGGGGGATAGGGATGCTACAAATTTTTATAATTATGACATAGAATCGGAAAGAATCGTGTTGAGCGTAATTCGACCTGCAGAAGGCTAAACGAAGCGAACGAAGGTACAGGTAGGTGTAAGGGGAAAAGTCAATTCAATCTTGCCCAGAAAAGATTCTGAGTCCACAATCCCCATTCAGAGCTTGTGTACAAACATTGCGCCATTACATATTCAGCAATGGCTTAATGAAGGTAGGACCAGTTCAAGTTAATTAGGGCAAAAATTGTTTTTGGACCGATTCAATAATGGCCTGTTGCTCCTTGTACTGTGGACTCCACACACAAGAACAATCAGGCTGGCTCCCGTTTTCACTTTCGCAATAAATTTATCATCGAAAAGAAAAGTAAAAGGCTTTTTATGTCACAAAACCTAATCTAATTGAAAAATGAAAAAATATTGGAACTACACTACCCGACAAAACTGATCGTTTTTTGCGCTTCGAAACAAACCAACTTTTTCTAATAGATTGGGAGCTTCGAATCATTTTTTTCCGTATGGCAGAACTTTTTTTAAATAATTTGTAATTCTTTTTTATACCCGTACTCAAAAAGAGTTAAGGGGTATATTAGATTTGTGGTAAAAGTGGATGTGTGCAACTCAGAGAAGGAAACGTTTCCGACCTCATAAAGTACATATATTGTTGATCAGCATCAATAGCTGATTCGATATAGCTATGTCTGTCTGTCCGTCCGTCCGTCTGTCTGTCTCGATGAGCACCTAGATCTCAGAGACTACAAGAGCTAGGGAAACCAAATTTGGTTTCCAGACTCATGTGATATCACACTGCCCTGCCCCCTTCAGCCCCCACAAAGGACGAAAATCTGTGGCAGACACAATTTTAAAGATACAATAAAACTAAAAAAGCAGTATCGTAGAGAAATCTGTCTACCAGATTGCCGAATCTGAATCAGATCGGATCATAATTATAGCTAGAATGAAGAAATTTTCAGCAGTTTCCCCTGCCTCCTACAGGAAGAGACCCGCTACTCATTCTACTCTTCTCGCTCGCACACTCTGGCGCGTTCAGTGCGCGAGCGGCCTCTAGCGAAATAGATGTAGAATCTAAATGGTATATCTATAATCTACATGTTAGATGTAAAATATACATAGTAGATGTAGATGTAGATAACAGATGTAGCAAAAAATCTAAATTTTTTTTTTTAATTCCAAAATTCTAAAAAATCATAATTTCAAAAATGTGTATGCTGACTGAGTACGGGTATAAGTAGAGTCGCGTCCCCAGAAGCGTTCCTTCTCGTTTCACATAGCTTAAATATCGTAAATTTTACTGAACTTTGCCATTCTGAAAAGCTAAGAAATGCAGCTATAAATAAAACCCAAACACTTTCTGATTTCAGCTTACCGTCTGGGAAATATAAAGCATTGAAAAGCAAAAATGATGATTTTTGTTCGGTATTTTTTACGAAATTTTGACTTTAAAAACTAAGGAAAGGTTCGTTTGCTTTGTTCCCAATTGGCAGTTGAGCTCGCAACCTTCCAAAAGGTATTTTTTGTTCATTTTTTCCTTATTTTAGGTTTAGTTAACGAATTTTAGCTCCAAAGTCTCTCCATAGATTTTGATGAGCGATACCTTGAACGACGCCAAATTAATGCACCTATACACAAAAAAATAGAGGACACAGGATATAATTTTTTTTCGACCTTTCCTGAGTTTTTAAAGTCAAAATTTCGTAAAAAATACCGCACAAAAATCATCATTTTTGCATTTCAATGCTTTATATTTCCCAGACGGTAAGCTGTAATCACAAAGTGTTTGGGCTTAACTTCTAGCTGTTTTAATTATCTTTTCAAAATAGCAAAGTTCTTTACAACCAGACGTAAGATACTAGAGCTATGTGAAAAAAACAAGCGCTACATCTGAAAAAAGCTTTAAAAAAAATACCAGACTTCAAAAATTCTTCAAAAAAAAGTTCTGCCATAGAAAAAAAACTATAATTCTTTAAAAAAATTTTAAATCCCCATATCTATCAGAAAAAGTCGGTTTGGATCCTTGATGAAAAAAAAAGAACGATTTTGTCGAGTAGTGTAATTAACCGTCTAGAACATTGCCTTCCTCAAAGAAAGATAGAAAACGGCTGTTAGCATGAGGTAAATGGTAGGGATGGCAAATACATTTTCAATGTCAGCAGCAGAGGATTCTGTGTTATCCTGATAATAAAGGGATGGAGGAAATTCATTGGAGTTAACGAACGAGAACATTGCCAACAGGTTAGACTCATCTCAAGGCAACCAAGAAATAAAGGCTAAGCTAAAATCACCCATGAAAATAATACGATCGTTGCAACCTAAAGCAGATTCAAAAGTATGAAAGGTGGCTTAGGTAAACCTCAGCATCAGACTTGGGAGGAATGTAAGAGCAAGTCAAATAGATATATACAGACCCAACGCAAGCTTTGACTGCAATAAATTCAATGCCGTAGATATTGTTGAATGGGAACTCCTCAGATCAGAAATCCGTTTTGACCGCTATCAGAACCCCACCAGCAAAAGATTGGTGGTCCAGTCTATAAGTGATCAACTTTGGAAAGAATATTATGATCATAGACGGAAGAATTAAGCCAGTTTCAGTTAAAGCAATTGCGTCGAAATCAAAAGAACTATTCGTATGTAGATGGCGAATGGAAAAAATGTTATTCAATTTTTTGAAGTGTCAGTACCGCATATTTTTTTTCTAACTCTGGTTAGAATTTTTATTTAGGAACTCGTGCATAATTGTATGCTTAGGTCATATTGACGGGTCAAGTGATTTAGATAGGAAGGAATCAGGAAAGAGGATTTTAAAATTACGCTTATATTCACAAGAAAATTTGGTCATATATTATATTATATTTATTATATTATATTTATATTTAGAAAATTTATTCCGACTTTGAACTACAAGGCGTTTTGGAAGACAAGCTAAATTCTAAAGCTTATCAGACGGTGTCTGTTCGTATGGCTACTGAAGAGGCAACCTGTTCTCTAACGATGCCTGAAGTAGGCGAAGGAGATGAGTAAGTAGTGGCTTTACTTAAGAAAGTTATAGTTTAGATTTTAGAAGATATTCTCGCATGTACAGGACCTGTGATGATATTCGAGAAGCGGATGATGAAGATACTGGAGAAGAATCCAATATGTCTAGGGGCTTACCCAAATCAAAAGTAGCTGCCGCTCAAGCTGCTGCTGTCACCAATGTTGTTGCTGGACGTGTTGGAAATTTGTTGGGAAAAGGAATCGGAGGACTAAGTTCGAAGCTGGGAAGCGGAAGTTGGTTTTAAACAACGGAAGGGTATTTTCTTTTATTTATTTGAGAAAATATATTAGTTAAACTTTCATTCCCAAATTGTTTCAACTACTCACTTAACAAAATTATTTCTCTGCTCTTTATATTATTATTTTAATATGTTTCAAAATAAGTGATGAACGTTTTATTGTGGATAATTTATTGGCTTGAGGAAAAGGTTTGAAAAGTATGAGAATTGTCATTTTTCGAACTTGGACAGTATTGGAAGTGTTTTAATATTTCGTTTCTATTAAGCGGACAAGCGACTTATTTGATGTATTAAAAGTCAATTTTTAAAAATATACGAGATATTTATATATACGTTCGCCAACCCCGAGGTCTTCTATATCACCTGTATTAAAAAGGTTTTGTTTTTTAATTTGCATCATTTTATTCATATCCATAAAAACATATGCTCGTAATTAATTTAAAAAAAATAGAAAATGAAACCACTCAACTTATATACAAAAGATTTCGTATTTTGGTGTTTAAAATATCTTTCATATCCATTCAAAAAAATGGCTGCCTTTGCTATTTCTATTGCTTCAAACGATGTCATTTGAAAGCATGAATTGAATTTGCGAATGGACTTCAAGAAGATGTTTCTTCTCTTAACACGGTATGTGTCATATCTTTCAACTTTTATTTACATCATGCTGTTTTTGCTGCAGTAAAATTGACTATTTCTGTTGCTCCGAACGATTTAATTTGGAATTAGATATGCGAATGGACTTCAGAAAGATGTTTGAATCTGGATCCGTGGCGATGAGCAAACTGTTCAATGGTTCCGGGGGTGTCACAATTTAAATATGTGCAACACATACCATCTGACTCATGTTTGAATTTTAAGGCATGACAATGTGGTCCATAGCTCCCATCAACACCTTCTGATGTGCGGAATGATTAAGTTTCACGCAATTGCGACATTTCTTTACGCACATTTCCGTTATCTTCTACGATTCGTTCAACTGTTTGTGGTACCATTTACCAATGAATAATCCTGCTAATATTATTTATTAATTTCATCTACGGAGAATCAGCGAAAAAAAGGCAAAATAAGCCTTCCTTGCTCGTCCAACTGTGAGAGTATATAATTTCTGCGAGAATTTTTTGGTCCCGGCATCACGCATAAACGGCTGGACCGATTTCGCTAATCCTTTTTTTTTGTGTTGGTTATTGTCAGGAGAAAGGTTTAGGGTCTAGAATCCCCGATATATTGGTTAAGAACCTTAAAAACAAATGGTTATAGCTTTCACAGAGTGACCTATCAGTAGAAACGCTAGCTTTTTATACAAAACACTTCTATCATATGATGCGTTGAAATAGTTTTCTTTAATTTACAAGAGAATTTTCGTTTTTAAAAAAGCAATTAGACGTGCAGGCTTAAGTAGCAGAACTCACAGTTCTGCAAGTCACAGATATAGAAGAGCACGTCAAACCGACGAGCAACGCGAAGCGAGGAATGAAGTTGAACGGAATCGATGGAATCGAAATCAACAACATACAAATGTTGCTTTAGACCCCTATCGAGCTGCATTCAATTATAACGTGGTTATAGATTCATAGATTATAGTTCACAGCAAATCGTTGCTATTAGACAAATGAACGTTGTGTGCCAATACTGCAAGGCATTTAAGCTTAAAAATCAAGCTACTGGATTGTGTTGCGCGAGCGGTCAAGTCAAATTGATACCATTGGTACCGCCACCAGAGCCACTGCATTCATTGGTTTCAGGAAATGGGCCATATTCGAATCATTTTTTGACTCATGTAATAATATAATAATTGCTTTCAGATGACGTCAGTTGGCACAACAAAAGTTATTCAAAACAATTTTATGACAACTTTCAAGATTCATGGTCAAATATATCATCTAACAGGTTCATTATTGCCAACTCCGGATAGTGACTTTCTTTTTCTACGTATTGCTATTGAAGAATATTTTTAAAACTTCTTGATTTTATGTTATGTAATATTTGCAATTCACTTTTAATTTGACACACGGCTTTAGATTGTAATGTCAAATAATTAATCGGCAATGTACGAAATATTAAAACAATGTTAAAATAAAATAAAATAAAATAAAGCCATCTTGTATGTATCATGCTTATACCTTCGTGGACACTATACCCTGTATCAATGAAATGGGAATTTGTCCTAGATTTATTTTGTACTTAATCATAGTATAATAAAAACAATTTTCAAATATAGAACACGAAATCTAACAAAAAATCATATATACCTGACATCGACGATTCCAAAAATGTATACGTAAAGTCATTTTACGCCAGAAAGCTAAACCTTACGTGAAATATTTAGTAAAGAAGGTAAACAATATATGACATGAATGTCAATCTTTTAACTGATGTCTCTTAATGCTAAAAAATGTTTATTTATGAAAGCGTGTAAAATAAGCTATTGATATCCATAAAAATTGGATGAGTTTTAATTATCTCTTTACCATTGAATTATCCATTAGCTTTTAGCAATTATCCATTGAATTATCCATCTCTATCCCAAAAAAAGCATGCTAATAACTAATCAAACTTATAAAACTTTCTTAAATTACATTTAAAAATATTGATATTACAAAATGTTTACGAATATAATTAAATAAAATAATTTATTCAGAAAATAACCATAAGAACAAAAAATTTATTAATGACATTATTATATGTACTTTATTTACTTATATTACACGCTATACCGAATGACTGTATGCAAATATGTTATATTCAATATTGGTTCGCACTATATTTAACACAACAAAATGTACCTTATTAATAAAGATTTACAAATTTACATTTGAGTTTTGTAAAAAAATTGCTTTATAAATAATAATTAGACGGCTTACTTTGATGGCACCATATTAAAAAGTGGGATTCTTCGATTCATATTTGCTATGAGAAATATTAATTACAATTTTAAAAGTCTACAGTGCTATACATAAAACAACTGTCATTACAAGACACATAATTTAGAGCTGAAAAATTCCATAAAAGACATATAATTACACTTAATAGAGTTTTTGAAAATGTTACCGAATTAACTAGCATATAGATTAAATAGTAATTACATAATTAACAAATTTTAAGGGCTACGAAAGTTTATCTGTATGTATGTTGTCTCTCAGTCACCATAGGCTAATAAAGAAAAATGTATAAGCTAATTGAAAAAAAAATGTTTTCATTGCTTGTCGTGATTACGGCTCAATGATTTTTTTATTAAAAATACTAAAAAATCTTTATATAAAAAAAGCCTAAAAAAATATAGGTAGATAAAATATATACATACATATGTACTCTTACTTACAAATGTTTTTCATTATTCAAACCATTTAAGAAACATAAAGCTGGAAATATCGAGATATCTTTATGCGAATACCTCAACATATATTTTACTTCCGTTTAAAATAAAAACGAGAAGGAACGTGTGAGTCGCTTCTGGGGACGCGACTCTACTTATACCCGTACTCAGTCAGTAAATACATTTTTGAGCTTATGATTTTTTAGAATTTTAGAAAAAAAAAAAATTTTACATTTTACATTTTTTTGCTACATCTGATATCTACATCTACAATACAATGTATATTCTACATCTAACATGTAGATTGTACAATGTACATGTACCATTTAGATTCTACATCTCCTCCGCTAGGGGTTGCTCGCGCAGTGAACGCGGCAGAGTGTGCGAGCGAGAAGGAAAATGAGTTTCGTTGTCGTTTGCGGGAGGGGGGGGGGGCAGGGGAAGCAACTGAAAATTAATTTCGTCATTCTGGCTATAATTATGAACCGATCTGATTCAGATTCAGCAGTCTGGTAGATATGGGCATTCTCTACGATACTGCGTTTTTAGTTTTATCGTATCTTAAAAAATGTGCCTGCCACAGATTTTCGTTCTTTGTGGGGGCGGAAGGGGGCGGGGCGAAATTTTGAAATACACTTGTAGCAGTGGGATATCACATGAGTCTGGAAACCAAATTTGGTTGCCCTAGCTCGTATAGTCTCTGAGATCCAGCCGACAAACAAAACGGACAGACAGACATGGCTCTATCGACTCGGCTATATATACTTTATGGGGTCGGAAACGTTTCCTTCTCTGCGTTACACACATCCACTTTTACCACAAATCTAATATACCCCTTAACTCTTTTTTGAGTACGGGTATAAAAAGAGAACCACTAACAGCTATGCATGATTTTTAGGTAACTAAACGGCATTTAAATCTAGTTTTAATGCACAGGACGGCCAATGAAACGGCCTTTCACAAGATATTTGATTCGTGTCGATAAAATGGATATAACCGAAGATATAGAGATCCAAACCAGACTATTTCCAGACTATTCTCAGTAATGAATCCGGATCGTAGGACCAAAAATTGCGTTGTTGATGAAACGAGTTGTAAATTTCAAAAACTTATTCACTATATATATTAAACTGTAACAGACTTAAACTAAGAATAATTATTGCCGCGCCGGGCAACGCCCCGAAGTCTGGTGGCAGTACGTTTAATAAGTCTCTTGCAGTCGATCATTCGGTAATTCAATTTTCTTTATTCACAGGTTTTTCGGGTGGATAATTATGATTTTTTAAGTTTACAAATGATAATGTGATCAATATACACATGAGCTAAAAAACTTGTAGCGCCCTTCAACTTAACCTGGCAACCCTTTGCAAACTTCGTCGCTTTTCGTGATGTTTGCCAATTTTCTTGTTACGTCTTGATCGGCATGTTGATTCTACGTCTTCACGTCTAACTTGGCCAGCTTAACAATTGGCCAAGTAAGCAATTCGGATGCCATTTGGTTCGTGAAGTAAGACATGGTAGATATTCCTTCTGCCATCGATTTCTGAAACTGTCCGTAATCTGACCTGCAATGCGAAAACTCTTAGCAAGTGAAACTCCGATCGTGCACCTGTCGTCATTCGCTGCCATCGAACTAGTCTCTGCTCACAGGAAGTGATTTAGTATAAGTACGTCAGCTTCCGGACTCTTCAACGGCACATAAGTTAGGGGTCTGGAATTCAGCATATTTTTGTTTTTTTTTTAATTTTTTATTTAGATACCTCTTTTAATATATATACATTGTCTGCGGCCGTTCGCCATTTTGTTTCGAGGTCGCGTGTGGTGGAGTGGCCAAGCAGTTGAGTCCTACGCCAGGATTTAAAATGCATGAGCTTGGGCACAGCAATCGCGGCAGGAGGAGCAACAGCAGCAGCCTTTTAAAGTTTCAGGTGCACCTCGAACCGGATGCAGATGGGGTTGATAACACTACTCAACAAAATTAAACTTTTTATTTAGGCTGTGAACCAAAATTACTTTTTCTGATAGATTTCGGGATTTGACAATTTTTGTAGTACTTTATTTTTTTTTTATGGTGTAATTTTTTTAAAGAATTTTTAAAATCTGGTATTTTTGTTCATGGTTTTTTTCAGAGGTAGTGCTTCTATTTTTCACATAACTTAACTACCAGATTTTAAAAGAATTAAAAAAAAAAAACTAAACCCTGACATGGTCACACTTTTTACCCGCCAATTTCAAATTCAAATTGTTCGGTATTTTCCAGTACCTCTGACATGGTCACACTATTTTACCCGCCACAACATGATGTTGGCAATTTCTCTCATTTTCTGCCTCCACTTTCCACCGCTCAAATGGCAGAAAACCGTTAAATTCAAATCTGAGATACCAGGGAAATCCGATGATCCTATTGGGCTTTGAGGTGGCTCAGAGGGGGCCTAGCTGAGGCCACCGGACGGGTCGCAGGTTGCGGATAGCGAACCTACCCTAGTGGGTAGGTCAGCTGCGAATAAGCGGGCATCCCAAAGAGAAGCAACTAAGTTGGCTCTGAGCTCACACACTCCCATCCCTACTCATTACCTACCCACATCCCAACCCCAACACTCACCTCACACCGGGCCGGACTAAGGTGTCACTCGACCCGTGCCAAGAGTTAGCCTGGCTGGGGGCCCGGTACAAAAACTAGCCCAGTCGTGAACGGAGAGCTCAGGGACTTGGCAGCTCCCTGTTCTAATTATGCCTTACCCGGGTAAAGTGGAGCTCTGCCGGGGTGGACCGTTCCCCTTCTCTGCAGCTCGTGGGAATCATATGGATAAATACGTAAATACTAATAAAAACGAAAACAAAAACGAGAAAGGCACTCCCCAAACGCCGGCTGGGAGAAATCCCAAGCGGGAGAAGGCAGCGGCCCAAAGGCCTGGCCCGATCCGCTCAGATGCAGGAAAGACCCCTGCATCCCAAATCTGGGATGGGTGGAAAGCCAACACCCAAAACTGATACCATTGAAGGGCAGCTAAGCAATATTGCGGCTGCCCAACCTTCCGGTGAAACTGCGGGTGATGGCTTGCCATCAACCAGTGTCCAAGCCAAAAAATTTAGTTATGCCGAAAAGAGGAGTGCTGGGCACATACTCGGTCGGCAGAACGCCAGCACAGAAGTCAGGTCAACAGCAGACTGTCTGAAAAAGGTGGAATGGGCCTAGGCGGTGCTGCCCAACTTCAGTGTGGAGCCACAGAAGGTGGCTGCACAACCGAAAAGGCAGCGCTCGCAAGATACGCCCGGACCTGCCGCGAAGCGCTCCAGAGTGCTACCAAACGTATCCTTCGCGCAGATTGCCAAGGAGAGGACTCTGATAGGCGTTCTCGACAACGGCAAATACCCAGAAGCCAATGGAAGTGGGTGGAAGCGGCACTGGCCGACCGCTGCTTCGAGCTTCTCGAGAAGGATCCCGGGCCACCTCCAGTCTGCAAAGACATGGGATGGTTCCAGGGAAGCATCAAAGTGGTAGCCTGCGAAGATGAGCTCTCCGTGAAGCTATACAAAGCTGCGGTGGCGCAAATCGGAGAAGTCTACGCTGGGGCGAAGCTCGTCGCTGTTGACTGGATCGAGGTGCGCAGCAGACCAAGGGCTCGTATATGGGTGCCGGCCACTTTTAAGGAGCCCGAACGGATCCTCAGGATGTTGCAGAGATGCAACCCAGCACTGCCAACCTCAGACTGGAAGGTGGTCAAAGTTGAGGCATCAAAAGGCCCCACTAACCAGGCAGTGATAATCCTAAATAAGGAGTCATTAGCCCCGATCGAGGCAGCCAAGGGAGAGCTCAACTTCGGGTTCAGCTCGGTGACCATCAAGGTCTACAAGTCGGATGCAGCGGCCGAGGCGCGTCCTGTCAACAACCCAGTTGAGCAGGACGTTGCCCCGGAGATCGAGGCACCCGACGTAGACCCGGAGCCCGCCCTGGAGAGCTACTCCTGGGAGACGGAGCTGATGCTCGATTTTGAGGCGTTGTGTCGTGACGAAATTCTCGACGACTCTGACGCCGACATAACAATGGTGGAGAACAACTCTAATGAAGTCTCTGAGGCTTCTGCAGATAAGTCTCCACCACTGTAAAGCAGCATCCGCTGCCCTAATACTCCGCTTAGTCGCGAGCGGAGGGGACATAGTCCTAATCCAAGAGCCTTGGGTGGTAGGAGGCAAGGACGAAGAACTACAAGCTGATTGTAGCCCAAACTGAAGGTAAAATTAGAACCTGCATTCTAGCAAGAAAACACCTAAATATCTTTCTGCTCCACAATTTTAGCAATGGCGACAACACGGCGGCTAGCCTAGAGCTACAGGGGACACGCCTGAACCTGGTGTCGTCCTAAATGGCTCACGAGGAAAGTGATCCTCCCAGTGACCTCGTTCGCAAGGTAGCCAGCGACAGCGAAAGGTCGGATACAGGCCTAATAATAGGCTGCGATGCCAACGCTCACCACATCCAATGGGGGAGCTCGAATACAAATATAAGGGGTGAGTCACTTTTCAGCTTCATCCTAAACTCCAACCTAGTTATTGGTAATCGGCGTAACGACCCCACATTCATTATAAAAAAACCGTCAAGAGGTTATTGACCCCACTCTATTGTCTCACAAACTGTTAGACATAAT